TTTTGAGAATATTTGGAGGTTTCGGGTATAGCTGTCAATTCGGGTAAACAGGACGGGTTTGGGTCGGTATTATTGGGTCGGGTCAATTCGGATTAATTCCATAACCTATGCGTGTCGGGTTAGGGTTGGGTCATGCTTTAGACGGGTCACGTCAGGTCATACTTCTTATCAAGTTTGGTTTGGTTACATTCGGGTAGGGTGAACAATAGGTTGTGTTTTCTCGGGTTTAAATGGGTTAGGGTAATTCTCGGGTTCGAGTCGGGTTCAGTTCAAGTCAATTATTTGCGGGTTTGAATTAGGTTGGGTCATTTTCGGGTTTGAGTCGGGTTAGGTTCAAGTCAATAATTTACGGGTTATAATCAAGTCGGGTCATTTTCAAGTCGGGTCATTCTCGGGTTCAAGTTGGGTTCGGTTCAAGTCAATATTTTATGGGTTATAACCAGGTTGGGTCATTTCCAAGTCGGGTCATTCTCGGAGTCATGTCGTTTTATGTTCAAGTCAATAATTTGTAAGTTAGAGTCAGGTCGGGTCATTTCGCAGTGAGGTCATATTCGAGTTAAACTAACTATAAATAGATAATTATCATTTTTATCAAGTTAATTATTTTCTTTGACTATAATTTATATGGCAATATAGTAGGGAACTATTGTTTATAATTTAAGAAAATAATTATCTCCTTTGACCATACAACAAATATATACTATATTTAACTCTTAAACTTTGAGGATGATGCTCATTTCTTTTGCTGGCGTGGACCGTCTTGGTCTCTTTAGACAAAATGCTTTGATTAACAATAATAAGGTTGTCTAAATTGCATCTAAGATGATTTGAAATCGGATCATGAACAATTTGGGTTGAATTTTGGTCGGGTCAATAATAAGTCGTGTTTATTTCGAGTCGGGTTAGTAACAGATCGGGTTGAATTTATGGGTCGGGTTAGTAATAGGTCCGGTAAAATTCGGGTCGGGGCAATAACAAGTCGGGTTGAATTTGGGTTAGGTTAATAACAAGTCGGGTTAATTTTGGGTCGGGTTTGTAATTGGTTGGGTTAAATTTGGGTCGGCTAAGGAACGGGTCGAGTTGAATTCAGGTCAGGTTAGTAACTAGTCGGGTTAAATTCGGGTTCCGACGGGTTAAAACGGGTTTGGGTCAATTTCGGTTCAAGTCGGGTTCGGTTCAGGTCAATAATTTACGGGTTACATTCGGGTCGGGTCATCTCCAGGTCAGTTCATGTTCGGGTTCGGGTTGCACATACTCGGGTTAACACGGTCTAGGGTTTGTTTCAGGTCGGGTTTGGGTCATTATATTTTTGGGTTCAGATGGGTCGGTTAATTATCATGTTTGAGTCGTTATTTCGAATCCGGTCATGTTTTGACAGCTCTAGTTGAGGATCAATGAAACAACGCGTTAGGTGACTAGTCTGTTGACATGGAAGAGATTAATGAATTAGGCATGGAAACTGGAAAGAGGGGTGAGCAAACGCAGCTGGCCTTCCGGGAAATGATGGTCATATTTAAAGGAGTTGAAGCTCATGATTAGCTTCCCAATCCATTTTCTTGCTGATTTTATCATCAATCTATTTCCCTTTTTATTCAAGGGTGTAACAAGGTCTTTACCTGGATTTGTATAATTGTATAGACTCTGTGTGATGCAAGGTTTTGTGAATTGTCAAGTGAAAATTTTCTTGTTCCTCTATTGTTGTAAGATCCGTCTCTGGACTTTTGTTTGGTCTTATTTGTGATGATGGTTCCTCTAGAGCAGTCTGCATATTATTTGTAAATTACATCTTAAAATGTAGGAATTTGTTTTTGGGTTTGGGCTGGATCCATGTTAATCATATGCTGATGTGAGTGAATTCTATTCTCTCTGTTTTGACATTCCTACTCCATGATGTGTTTATGCTTAACATGTCTTCTGAAATATGGACTTGTCAGGGTACAATCTATGACCATTCATGTCCTCCTTAATGTTGTTCTTTCTTGTAATTTATGATAAATTGGATTAGCGAATTGTACATTGGGGTTTCTCATCCATTTGACTGTCTTGGGAAATGGGTGCTATAGTTTTCTTGTAAATTTCTCTGTCCGAGTGTTTGAAGAACAGGAATCTAGCAAGACTGAGCTATTTCATGATGTGTTTTGTCGTAGTTTACTGTTCAGTACTCAAGTCTTTAACTCTATCTCTCTGGGTTGTAAGTTTTTTCTAATTAAATCATGAACTTACCTTTAGGCAATTATCATTATCTCTGTTTTTTTTTTTATTATTATTATTATTCTATAGTTGATGTGATTATGATTATTAAGAATCTAGAGTAAGATATATTTGCTGTCCCGTTTGCTATGTGACTAGTCTTTTCTTAAAAAAGTCTAAAGTTTTTCTTCCTTCCTGTTGGTGTTCATTTGCCACTTTTCTTGTTGTGTTGCAGGTTCAAACCTTTTCAGATAATGATGCTTTCTTTGTATGGACATTTATAAAGCGGCATCCTTTGTGGCAGACACTTCTCTCATTCTCTTGGCCTGTTCTAACATTAGCAATCTGCTTATTTCCAGTGTACCCACACACGGCCAAGCTTGTGGTACTCTACTCGTGTGCTGGGATTCTTCTACTTATACTTAGCGTTCTAATGTGTATGTTTCCTATGTCTTGATATTTTTTGTTGTTGCCAGCTGTAGTTTGTTCCTTGTTATCTTCTTGTTTCTGATTTCATTCATATATTCCTGGCCTATACTTGTTATCACTTTCATTTACTGTACTTGTTATTGTATGGAGTTGTTGCCGAATCACTAGATCCCTCCACCCCACCTCAAATCTTTATCTATCAACTGTCTTTGTTGGTGCAACCTTATTGCATATTCTGCACTGGTGGCTTTCAATCTTATTGAAGATTGCCAGACTTCGTCTGATAATATTGCATGAATGGGTGGATATATATTTTTAACAGATTACAAGACCCATATATTTTTAACTTGCATTCTATGTTCTGATGCATTAGTTTTAACTTGCATTCTATACTGTCGGTCTTCAATTCATGTATCACTAATTTTTGGTGATTACAATTGCAGTGAGAGCCACGATTTTTGGTGCTCTTTGGATTTTCCTTGGAAAGCGCGTGTGGATTTTCCCCAATATTCTTGCAGAAGAAGCAACATTGAGCGAGTTGTTCCGTTTTTGGCCTAAAAAAGATGAAGAGGACCCACCAAAGTGGACTAGCCGGCTTTTCTATGCTGTAACATCTGTTGTTGTCATATTGATTTTGAGACATCATGCTCCTGATGAAGCTGCTCGAGCTAGGTTAGTGTCATATTCAAATCTATTTTTGTCTAGCCCTGTACTTACTGGTGTCTGCTTTTCTCAATTTGCATTTGTTTTTTATTTTAAAAATTTATTGTTAGTGTTGTGGTGTAATTGCCTTACCAATAATACCCATGTTGGATACTGGACATTTTGAAATGGCCATTGATTTTTCAAATTGTGCCAAAATGTTGTTTGGTTTTAATGTTGTTTTGCGACCATGTTCTTATAACATAAGTGGTAACCTATAGGAGATCCTTTCTTTTATCATCTAAGGTCTAGTTACGAAACCACACACAGTATGTTTTTATAATATTGGAATTAGATTTTTTTTATTATTTTTTTATTTTTTATTTTCCTGTAAAATAGAATGATTTACTTAGATTGGGAAGGTGCTACAAATTCCACTGGTAATTGGAGTGTAGAGTTTAAACACACTTAGACTTATAGTTGCATATAGAAATTTTTTTATTTACGAAGTACATCCCAAAAATAAAAAAGGAGAACAAGGAGAGTATGAAGTAGAGAGAGAAGATAGTAGTTGTGGAGGGCCCATTTACCTGAGTTCTTTTTCATGGTTAGAAAAAAAAATGAAAGAAATGCTTGGTATTGTATACTTATCAAACTAAAATGGGACTGACGAGCTGAGTTTCTTAATTACTACGTAAAATACTTTGTTGAATTTAACTGAGAAAGGAATTTAGGACCCCAATAATAGGTTTAAGTTGAAGGGAACAGAGCCTAATGGCCAACATTATGTTTTCAGGTACCAGAAGAGGGTTTCTAATATCATTGATGATGTCCTGGAGTGGTCCCCGAAACTGGCTATCTCAGGAATAATGAATCAACAACCCGAGGGAGTCAATGTGACCGACTTTCATAATGAGTCTGCAAGTGATAGTGGATCCAACTTTGAGGTGCCACCACCACCAAGTAGCGTAGATGTTGATGTTGATGTTGGTGATGAGCCTGTGGAAGAAACCGTAGAGGATATTGAGGATGACAAGGGGCAGTCACAACAACATCATGGAGATGTATAATCCATATTGTGTTAATTTTGTCTACTTAAAATTACAGTTTTATGGCTACCATTTTTGTTACATTTCTCTCCCTTCTACATTGTAAAACCATGTATTTAACGTGTGAGAGAAACCTAGGGGCACCCTTTCATCTGATTTTATTTAAATTGAACCTTATTGGACGTCAACATCTTGGTGAAACTAACATCTTGATTTCACCTTTTGTTTACAACTAAATTTGCTTAGACATTTATTCAAAAAAAAAAAAAAAAAAAAAGAAAAAAGAAAAAAAATGTGTGCACTATCGTTTTAGCATTGTTAACCTCGTTGACTGTTGAAATTAAAACGGAGTAAAACACAAAATATGAAAGGAGCCTTTTTTTTTTTTTTTGCTTGTCTGTAATTTTTTTACTACAACGTTTTCAGCTTTTAAAAACTACTACGAGAACATACATTGCACTTTTAACATTGTTGACAGTTTCAACATACATCTACGTAAGAGATGCCCCAAGCAGTGTCAATTGGAGGATCGCATAGCCAAGTACCCAATGAATGAGTATCTTATTCGTAATCTCCTACTCTAATCTTCACCCTGAGCAGAGCAACAAACCAGCAAAAGCGCACTATTCAGCCATCTTTAATGCTACCAAAGTGCCGGTAAAACATGTACAGTGTTAGTATCAAGTGGTAGAATGGTTAAACACAAAATCTCAGTAAACCTATTGTTCCAAACACTTTATGAGCTGTAGCCAGCCAAGAGTATAGTAATATCTCAAATACGAACCTAATAGCACCATAAACCTACCAACTATACAAAGTACTAAAATGAAGTAAAAGTCATCAAGATCGAACATAACAAGCTACCAAATGATGATATCTTAGCCTCATTATCCTTCCTCACTAACCTAAAGCTCTGAACTACAGAAAAATAAAAACTACAAACTGTACATAATCCAGAGGGTATGCCGATAAACACAAAGGCCATCAAACTGCTAATATTTGCTATCCAAGTTTATCCTACTCTCCCTGACACCCACAAGCACTATTAACCAGCCAAGAATGATTTGCCGCTTGGCCATTTAAGGCCAAAAGAAGATCCAATCTGCCATAAAAAGATTAAGAGAAATAGGACATATACATCTTCTATCCAGGTAGTTGAATTCTCGACTCCCTCGTTATGCTCAAACTTTCAGATGGCTAGTGCACATTGTGGAGCCTGGTCATTAGACATGCTGTTACCCCATTGCTGGTTCGACTGACCTTCTCCAGTTCTAGTTCCTCCCGAACCGTTGGACATGTCAGCCAGTTCTTCATGGGCCTCATGCGAATGGGACCCTCCTGCATCTGATTGTATGCATAAATTTTCCAAATGTCAAAAGAGAATAAAAGCAACATCCTGAAACTATCCAATAAAGATCAGAAGGGTAATCAAAACCTGATGATTTATTTTTCTCATCAGCAGAGTGGCTAGAACCTTCAGCTTCACCCTTCTTGGCAAAACGTCCTCCTGTACCTCTAGCCCTTCTCAAAGCATGTTGGTGGCGAGACTCGTGGAGATATGGCTACAGAAAAGGGAAACACACACACACACACACATATTAAGGATTCAACACATTCAAAGGTCACAAGAGAAAATTAGATACAAAGTCTACATGGATCAAGCATGCAATTACCTTTCTGATTTTGATAAGTTTCCTTTCCAGCTCAGCTTTAGCACGGACCTGCCTCCGCCTCAAGATTCCATGGTACTGCTTAGCATTAACATAAACAGGTTCTTGTGCCATCTCAAGAGGTAGAGGCATCCTAGGTTGATGCATCCCAAAAAACTGGGGAGGAACCTAATCATATCATACATTAAAGGAAAGATTTAGTCACACAGGCACACATCATTACCTTACTCAAGCCAAAAACAAACAGCATATCTTATTCATAAAACTAAGGCCAAACAGATACTCAATAGCAAGGTTTTGGACGATTGACAATTGAAAGCATTTAAAGTTGATAGATGAAACAGACCTCTAACATGAAAAACCTGTAAAACTGTAAACACAATCGCAAACACAACTGTCCTAGCTAGCTTTATCAACATTATACAACTGAATAACATCCAATCCATGTTTATTTAGAGGTCATTACCCCCTCCCTTCTTAAAGCAATTACTGCTAATGGGAGAGATGTCGAGTTAGAAGGTGGATAAAGCACATTACTATAGATAAAACTCATCCAAGATCATCAACCGGGAAGATAATATTACACTCGTATTTCCCTAGAAAAAAAAAACATTTTTTCCCCTATTTTCAAAATCCTAAAAGTCCTAAAACTTCCAATTTTCACAAGTTGTAAGATTAAGGCAATTATCATAAACCTTAGGCTAACCACAAGCACTAAGACAAAGTGATGCTAGGACAGAACCTTAAGACATAAATCCAATCAGTAGTCTGGAGAACGCCACAACCCTGATAATCTCGTCAATAGAGCCATTCCAATAGCAGAATAAGCTATTTAATGCTTAAGTCTGCCAGCAAATAGTCATTTCAAAAAACAGATTTAGACAATTATAGACTTGTTGCTTTAACAAAAATAATGCAAAAGTGTGCCGAAGCCTAGAGACTGTCAGTTCTCAAGCAACAAGCAAGCTTCAGCGATGATCAGTTATTTTCTTTATTTAAGGCAATTGACATTTTAACAGTGACTACTTCTCGTAAATGAAGCAGAATGGAGGTCTATTATGACCATCTATAAAATGGAGGTGACTTCCAACAGTGGGGAAAAAATGGAGTTAGACAATTTAGAACCCTACTTACTCGGTGGATATATATGCAGGAGTTCTCCTCCACAGATATGTTACCTGTTAAGTAGGATATGTGATTTTCTGCTCCTATGCATAAATGTCGCAAATTGCAAGCATTCTTTACTTTAAAGGTTCCAAGTCCAAAGCTGTGTGGAGCTAACTGCAGTTATGTCACTGTGTGCGGCCATGTGGGTCTAAATGAGCTTAAGAGACTACTAGAGAGTGGAAAGTGGTTTCAGAAAGGACTATGTACTGCTTGCAGAGAGAATGTCATTAAGCTAAATGCAGAATTATTCATGCTGAAGAACTGCAATTGAAGAAGTTTCTCATGCGCAGAGAACATATGCAGAAGAGCAGCAGTCATTTCAGAAAGTGATTACCAAGTAGCGAAAGCCATTTGCATATAAAGTGAATTAGACGGCTAAGATCCAAGCATGGAGAAGAGGGTGGTCAGTGTCACTACTCTAGGGATCATCTGTGTAGTAGCTGCTAGTTCTTGGGGCGTAATGAGACGTTGCAGAGGGAATAATGTGGTAAGATGGTAGTTTAATGGGCTCCAGAACAAATTGATCTAATCAGAAGGGGAAAAAAGGTGATACTTTCACATCATAGAGCTTTCACATGGGAAAAAACATACACCAGACAATAGGCACACACACTAGACAACAAGAAGTTAAATTAACAACACAGCTATTAATATATTTCTATGCATCCCTTTTCCTTTGACAATAATCTTTCCCTCAGAGCAATCACAAATTATGAGCAAGTAATTGTAGGTTATTAAGGACAAAAAAAACTCCTAGTGCACTCCCCACTTCCCCTATGACAAAAAATCGCCAGTTACGAAAATATAAAGCGACCAACCAGGGGCTGAGATCCATAGGCAGCCATCATTCCTCCATAGTAGAGATCAGGATAAGGAGCTGACGCACAGGCCTGCATATAGCAGTATAGTATTACAAAAATAGTTGGTTGTAATATATTCATATTTGCAGTAATCATCATTTGGCAAGTCTAGCAGTGTAAACAAAAAACATGTATCACTTACAATTGAGTGACCAACAAGTTCTAGCTGTGGATGCTGTGAATAGTAATCTGCACTTCCAAGAGACATACCAGACTCACCATATTGCGATTTCTGAAGATCGTGCCCACAGCTACCGTCTTGAGGCAAGGAAAATAAACTGATTAGCATAGCGAAGAGAATCTTAAATTGGTTCCTTATTAAAGCAAAAAAGTAAATTAAATTCCTACTTTGCATTCTAGTACAAGTCCAGCAAGTCTGCAACTAATGTACAAATTTTAAAATCTGTTAATGATTTACTGTTTACATACTACATACAGACACAAGCCCATAAACACACACCCATCCCAGCCCTCAAATAATAAGAGGGGGGGGATTAGAAAGAAAATAGAGTATGAGATACTTCTTCCAATTAATTATAGAGCACCGCATTATGAACATGCCATTATGTTGGCATAATGATACTCCCCCCATCCCTAAATAATAAGCCACATATAATAAAAGGTAAAGCTAAGGAATTGGATAGAACTATCATAATCATCCTAATTGAAAAACTTTGCATTATTACCATGCCATAGAGCCCACAAAGTATTCTTTTATTTAAGTTACCATCGGTTAAGACTAATATGGACAAGTTGTAAGTTTTGATCGACAAAATTTTAAAAGTGGACTACTATTAGACAATCCAAAATAGAAATGTGGCCTAATATCTAGAGAGGGAGCGAGTAACATATATGTGGAACAATACCTCGAGGGGTAGAAGTAGAACCTGTAGTTTCTGAGTCTTTGCTGGTCTCTTCTTCATCATCCCCCGCATTTGACAGTGACTGGTCATCTTTAGATCCCGACATCTCAACTGGATGGTTTAGCAATGTTGGTTTAGGAACACTTCCAACTGCATCAGTTAGAGGCAATGGACCATATCCAGCCCCTCGCCACCACTGATCAGAACAAGCTGCTGATGGTGGAGTATTAGTTTGGGAATTAGGCTCGGGTTGGCTTGCCAAAATAGATTTTGATGGCATGCTTCAGTTAAGCACTTAAAAAGGCATCAATCACAGATATTCAACTTTGAACCTGCAAAGTGTTTAACCTAGATCAGCCTAGAGATTCTGCAAAAATAGCATCAAAAAACCAATCATGTGATTTTAACATTGGAAAAATACAAGTCAAATCCTTAAGCTAAAAATTTCGAGCAAAGATCCTGTTTTCCAACTTTAAATTCTTCCAGTTAATAAAGTAATCTATATAATTATTTACTCCCTCTCAAACTTACGTGTGTATTTCTATTAATCTCAGGATCTTAGACCTATAACCTTTCCACATTTTAGCTTACGTACTACGAATTATATGATTTTCTCTAATTATCGTTTTTTTATTACTTGTATTAACAATAGTCATCTCCTCTTAATATAATTTTTCTGACATAACCCATCCACTAATCAAGAACAAGATCATAATCTCGGAGGTACAAATGTACAATAATATTATTGACCTAAAAGACTAAAACTAGTTCTCAGAAACATGATTAGCTGCTTTCCCCTATCTTACCCTTATCCAGTCCTATCACCTCTGGCATTGAACTCTCAAAATTAATGAATTCACTGACTTCAAGTACTCTGGAGATGCTTAAACCAGCTTCACAATCTATAAGCTCACTTCGAGCTTGACATAGGAATCAGCCGAATTCCAAACCAATCTGGAGTCATCAAATACTATAGATCCCCAAGTAACTAATAACATATATCATCATCCCCTTCCAACACTTCAATTGAATTACACAGTCTACCAAGATTGTCAAAAAAAACTAATTGCATGAAGCTGAAACACCCTTTTTCCTGGGAAGCAAAGTATGACAGGACGGTTCGTTATCTACTAGATCAATTGTCACATATCTTAGCAACACCCGTCTCAACCCCTTTCTGAGAGAAAATTGAGAAAGATTTATGTCACCTTCGACACTATCTATATCGCGATAACTCGAACACGAACACTGTATATGATCGGAGACTTTCTTCAATCAATATCTCTTTAGGTTGTTAAGAATTCAGGTAATTTAACATGCAGAGTGCCCCAGAATTTGGCAACCTTCAACATTTTGCCGCTGAGAGACCATAATTCACTCATAATTTTAGGCAAAATAAATGCAACATTTATCAAACTAAAAGCTAATAAATTTATAATCATGATTTCAATAATCAATCCAAATCAATTTAAACAAAATCCCAATGCAAATCCCAACAACAGTTGACAAACTAAAACCCACCAAAATTCCCCAAATTATCATAATCCAATCCCCTAGCTCAATCAACGATGAAAATCAAACAAACAGGATCACAAACAATTAATACAGAATTCTCAGAACAATTAAAACTTATAGATATCGACATGCAGAAACCCTAACAACTCAAAATTAAATTACTCGGCAAAAAATCGAAAAAAAAAACAAAATTCGCATCGAATTATAAACACAAACACCAATTAAAACCTCAAAAAAGACGCTCAAACCTCAACAAATTCAAATCAGACCAATCGGAATACAAAAAAAGATACTTACTTGGAAGAAAAATTCTCGCTTGATGAAACAAAAGAGAATTAACAATAAGAACCCTAAAATTTTGAGAATTTCGAAAAATTGGGGGAAACTTTCAATTGAATATATCAAAATTAATTTGAAATTCCACCCAAAAATCAAATTGTAAAAATATAATTTTGGGTACTTTTTATTTTTTAATTTTCTCTCTCTAAATTTTATTTATTTTTTCTCCTCCAATCTTGTGAAGAAGGAAGTCGTAGCAAAGTCTTTCGTTGGGTAGTCTTTTTTTCGTTTTTGTTTTTTAATTTTTGAAAATAAATAAATAAAAAATAAAAAAATTGAGAGGAGGAAAATAAACGGGAAGACAGCGCAACAGAACAAGAATGGTATAAGGACGACACGTTGAAGTGTTCCAGTGCTCTCGTGTTACTTCACTATACCTCTTCACTCTTACTACTCTCCCCTTTAGCCGCCACTAGTTTTCACTCTTTAAAAAAAAAATTGTTATTAACCTGACCCAAATTTTACCAAACTTAAAACCAATCCGACCAAAAAATTCAACCCGATCTATTACTAACCTGATTCAAAATCACCACGACTTGTTATTGACCCGACCTAAATTCAACCCAAATTGTTCCTCACCTGATTTCAAATCACCTTAAATGCAATTAAGAGCACCTTATTATTGTTGATCAAAGCATTTTGTTTAGGGAGACCAAGTCGGTTCAGGCCAGCAAAAGAAAGGAGCATCATCTCAAATTTAAGAGTTAACTAAAGTATATATTTGTTGTATGGTCAGATGACATAATTATCTTCCAAAATTATAGACTATATTTCTCTAGTTTATTATCATATATATTATAGTCAAAGGAAATAATTATTAGCTTGATAAAAATGATAATTATCTATTTATAGTTAGTTGAACTCGAATATGACCTAACTTGGAAATGACCCGACCTGATCGTAACCTGCAAATTATTGACTTGAACATAAACTGACTTGAATTCGAGAATGACCCGACTTGGAAATGACACAACCTGATTATAACCGGCAAATTATTGACTTGAATCGAACCCGACTTGAACCCGAGAATGACCTGACTTGAAAATAACCCGATCTGATTATAATCCGCAAATTATTGACTTGAACCGAACCCATCTCAAACCCGAGAATAAACCGACCTGATTCTAAACCGCAAATTATTAACTTGAACCCGATAATTAGCATGGATATTAGCTTTCAATTTTGGAATTTTTTGAATTTTTTTCGCCCAGATATTAAAAATTGTCGAAATGTTTACCATGATCCCTAATACGTCAATATATGATCCTGAGATGTATTCCCTACAATTTCAAGGCTTTTTAACACCGTGACCCGATCACTCCGAAATTTCTTAAAAAGCGTGGATATAAGCCTTCAATTTTTGAATTTTTTGACATTTTTTCGGCCGCAAATAAAAATTGCCGCAATTTTTATCATGGCTTCTAATACCCTTCAGTAGTCCAATAGGGTGGATTGAACTATCCAATTTGCCTTTAAACGACCAATTTACCGATTTAAAACTTGCACCGATTACATTAAATCAAGCCTACCACGAACATTTATGGCAGCATATACTGATCATATATGGTTCCAAACGGCATTATATGGCCTCGAGATATATCCTCTAGAATTTCAAGAGTTTTCGACACAGGGCCCGAAACCTCCAAAATTTCTCAAAAAGTGTGGATATTAGCCTTGAATTTTGGCATTTTTTGACTTTTTTTCGCCGGAAATGAAAATTGCCAAATTGTTTACCATGATCCTTAATACCCTCCTGGAGTCCAATTGTTTGGATGGAACCATCCAATTTGTCTTTAAACGACCAATTTACCGATATAAAACTTGCACATATTTCATTAACGCAAGTCTGCCACGAACATTTATGACAACATATAATGATTATATATGATTTCAAACGGCATTATATGACCCCGAGATGTATCCCTTAATTTTTCGAAGCTTTTCGACAGTGGGGCCTCGAAATCTCTAGAGTTTCTCAAAAATCGTGGATATAATTAGCCTTAAATTTTAGAATTTTTCGACTTTTTTTTCACCCGAAAATAAAAATTGCCGAAATATTTACCACGGTCACTAATATCCTCCGGAAGTCCAATTGGGTGGGTGGAACCATCCAATTTGCCTTTAAACGACCAATTTACTGGTTTAAAACTTGCACCGATTTCATTAACTCAAGCCTACCACGGACATTTATGACAACATACACTAGGTGAAAAAAGTGCTTTGGCAACGGTTCAAACCCGGTCTAAGGCACCGATTTGAACCGCTGCCTATGTGGGGGGTGCCAAATACCCCCTTTTTAGCACCGGTTCAAAACTGGTGCCATATATTCAATTAGGCATCGGTTAACCAGTGCCAAAAATGAACCAAAATATTTATTTCATTGGTTTTTGCACCTGTTAACCGGTGCCAAAACTGCCCAAAATTATTTTATTTTTTTTTTGTTTTGTTTTGTTTTTGTTCTTGTTCTTTGTTCACTTGAAAATTGGCAGAAAACTAATACAACACCAATTATAACATTAATTCATAATCAGTAATAACACACCAAATATAATTGAAATTCATAATCACCAAAATATTACATAATACATTAATACATAATATAATTGAAATTTATAATCAGTAGTTTTACACTTGCCCAAAAAAAAAAAAACCAAATGGATTCGACGAACGAGCTTAGTAGCTGAATTGCAGAAGCAAAGTATCTGCCATCAATTTTCGACGAAGATAACTCACGAACTGAAAATTGAAAAAAAAAAACAAAAACGATTATATTCAGATAATTATACCCAGAAAACACAAAATTATAAAAAATAAAATTGAAAAAAAATACAAAATCCCCGAAAAAAAAAAACAACCCATAAACTCAAAAAAAAATACACATACATGTAATTAAAAAAAATACCCAAAAAACACATGCATGTAATTAAAATTGATTAATCAACCCAAAATTAAACCCAGAAAAACGAGAACAAATCGAATTAAAATACAAAACCCATTAAATTCGGATAATTATACCCACAGAAATCGAATTAAAATCCAAAAATTGATTAAATAAACCCAGAAAAATCGATTAAAATCCAAAACGATTACTTAAACCCTAAATTCAATCCAACATAATCGATTAAAATCGAATTAAACTTATAAATTAAACCATAACCTTGTATAAATTATACCAAAAAAAAAACACATGCATGTAATTAAAAAAAAAAACCCAAAAAAAAAACACATGCATGTAATTAAAATTGATTAATCAACCCAAAATTAAACCCAGAAAAAACGAGAACAAATCGAATTAAAATACAAAACCCATTAAATTCGGATAATTATACCCACAAAAATCGAATTAAAATCCAAAAATCGATTAAATAAACCCAGAAAAATTGATTAAAATCCAAAATTGATTATTTTAAACCCTAAATTAAATCCAACAAAATCGATTAAAATCTACTTAAATCCTAACCTCGTATAAATTATACCCAGAAATTGTCGGTGGGATTTGCGGTGGCCGTCGACCTTTGTGGTGGTGGCGGCGGCTTTGCGGCAGTGGTGATGTTGTGGTGGTGGGCTTTGTGGCGGTGGTCGAATTTGTGGTGGTGTAGATCAAAGAAAGAGAGGAGATCGAAGAAGCTAGGGAGAGGAGATGAAAGAAGATCGGTTTAGAGAGAGGAGCTAGATCGAATATGCATGGGAGATGAAGATCGATAAGGGAGATGAGAGGAGAGAGAAGGGAGAGAGGAGAGAGAAGGAGATCAGAGGGAATGAAATAAAAAGAGGCGGAGTGAGAACTTTTTTTAGGGTTTATTATGTGAATTGAACCGTTTTTTTAACATCTTATGGAACCGGTTCAAACCGGTGCCATTTGTATTTTTGGCACCGGTTTGATCTGAACCAGTGCCATTTCTCTTTGTCTAAAAACCCGCCCATTTTTAGGCCGATTTTTTGCACCGGTTTGGCCTGAACCGGTGCCATTTGGTGGTTGCCTTTTTGTATTTTTCTACTAGTGATATAATGATCATTTATGGTTCCAAACGTCATTTTATGACCCCGATATGTATTTCCTGGCTTTTTGACACCGTGACCCGAAACATCCAAAATTTCTCAAAAAGTGTGGATGTTAAGCCTTCAATTTTGGAATTTTTTGACTTTTTTCGCCCGGAAATAAAAATTCCCAAAATGTTTACCATGGTCCCTAATACCCTCCTGGAGTCCAATTGGGTGGGTGGAACCATCCTATTTGTCTTTAAACGGCTAATTTACTGATTTACAACTTCCACCGATTTCATTAATTCAAGCCTAGCACGAACATTTATGACAACATATAATGATTATATATGGTTCCAAACGACATTATATGACCCCGAGATGTATCCCCTAAAATCTCGAGTTTTTTCGTCAACGGACCCCGAAAACTCTAAAATTTCTCAAATAGCGTGGATATTAGACTTCAATTTAGGAATTTTTTGATTTTTTTTTCGCCCGAAAATAAAAAATTGACGAAATGTTTACCACGGTCCCTAATAACTTCTGAGAGTCCAATTGGGTGGGTGGAACAATCCAATTTGCGTTTAAACGACCAATTTACCGGATTTTAACTTGCATCGATTTCATTAAATGATGTGTCTATTTTATATAGTATTTTACCCCCGTCCCTTGGTCATAATTAGTAGTGTTTTTGGCTCTTTAGAGCCACTTTTATTACTAATTGGTGTTTTCTAGTGTTTTCGTAGATTTGGTTGACTTTTGCAGGGATTTATGCTTTTGGAATATTTTCCCGAGATATTTTGGAGCAATCACGAGCATTGGAGAAACACGACCAGATTTTATAGCCCAGGGCCGGTTAGAGCCATCGAACCGGTGATTAAGGGCTCGGTATAGGTGATACCGGGGCATTTGGACCGAGTATTCAAGACCCAAAGAGGAAACCCAGATTGGCCCGAAGAATTGGAGCCCAATCATAATCCAAATAGTGGCCCAAGAGAGCCGCCCGGCCAAAAAGGCTGGCGCCTGGAGGCGTGCCCGGCCGGGCGGGAGAAGCAAAGGTCGGCGCCCGGCCAAAAAGGCTAGCGCCCGAAGGCACGCCCGATCGGGCGGTGCCTCGCCCGATCGGGCGCGTGTATTTCTTAGGAGATGTTTAACGTAGTTTTAATTTGTTTTAATTTAGGACTTTGTACGGAGTATAAATACTCCTCCGTAATACGATTTTAGTATCTCTTCTTCTTCTCCTTTTTTTTACTCTTTCTTTACTCTATTAATTATTCTCTTAGAATTCTCTCTCTAAACTTTTGTTCTTAATTCTTCCATTAATTCCAGATTACCTTTTGGTAACAATTTCTTCCCCTTTAATTTCAGTTATTTTATTTACTCCCTTGATTATGCTTTTATTTATTTATTTGATTAGTTTAGTCATGATGATTTGTGAGTAGTTTAATTTCTAGGGTTTATGGGGATCTAATAAATAATATGAAGGGGTAAATTATTGTTGTTGATTATCAATGCTAGATTAATTTCCTATTCATTGATTTAATGCTCTGTGACTGGATTAGGCCTATCTT